ATAAAAGAGAAAGGTTATAAATACAGCGAATACAGCAGTAGACAAGGAGTGTTATACACGGCTGTAGTTGCGTGACCAACGGCGGTAGCGCAGCAAAAGTAATAACCGCCCGCATTTCCAAAGCTCGAGCAGTGTACGCGGGTTGAAACACCTTTGGCGTAGACGCGAAGTTTTACTGAAATTGAAAGTTCGTGTATGCAGTGCTCTCGTTCTTTGAGTTTTTCTTTATGGTTGTGAGACCCTGACTTTGCGAGTATAATATATCCGTCGACTAGAATTTTTCGATTATCGGTATTTACGCAGTTTAGCCCACGTTAGATGAACCGAACGGGTTAGTAACGTGGAGGTAAGCCGTCGTGTGTTTAGGAGTCTATCAGGTATAGACCCGCGAGCATACCGAATTCAGATTACTAGGCTTCACTGACTGGGGCACGTATTGCGTATACCCAGCCATCGTCTGCCTCACCGCGCTTTTTTCGCTGTGGCTAATCTGGGCTGGAGGAAACCACGTGGAGGTCAACAGATAACGTGGAGACGAAGCACGAAGAAATGCACAGAACCATTATATGGAGTAGGTGTCTCACGCCCTCCAGGTTGGGGTCCGAAAGACTCCATAACTGGTTGGTTGGAGATATTAAAGGATATGGCAGCAAACCGACAGCAGTGGCGTTCTTGTCGTTTCTTATCAGGTCAGAATGCTTGAAACGGTATGTATGTAAAGTTCGATTGCGTACTCTGTGTTTTGACCATAGTGGCTCACCTCCCTCCCTCAAATCAGATCCAATCCCTATCCGCCTTAAATTTTACCACTAACTTGTATGCACTGCGAGTTTGGAAGCGATCAGTGAAGTTCGCTTCATTGTATTACGCTGTTCAATGATGATGGTGATGATGAAGTGCAACTCACACACCAGACGGAGACTTGGTAGACACCTCGGCTATGCTAATAAGCGTAACCTGTGCTCCCGTTGTTGAGCCTTGTGGAGGCATCTACAAAGGTCATCTATGGCCAACTGATTTGTTCCGATAGGCCTATGGGCACATATCGGGGGATCCTACTTTACGCTGAGGAGCATCTTGAGAACTAATATGGATCCGGAGTCGCAGATTCACTTCCGTCTGAGGACATAGCAATGCACGCGGGGCGCTCTCACGTTGAGGACGCTGCACCCGGTCGGTCTACCAACTCTTGAGGAGATCGACAATACTCCAGACTGACATTGCTTGCAAGCCGTGTTTGGACGACCACACAAAATCGCACCTTGACCTAGTGGTGATGAGGCTTGCACGTTTATCCTGCTCTTTGTTCTCAAAACCGATATATATATATATATATATATATATATATATATATATAT